CTTTATATTCACATCAATATCGAATGAATATTTCATCTCCTCATATTTTTATCAATACTAAAATAAACATTTAAATGTATTTCAACTGTGACGATAAGCAGGTTTTCCTTATTGATATGACTGATGTATTTCTCTATCACAGCGATTTCTGAATCGATTTTCTATTCCAACATCATATTAAACTAATTTCCGATCCGATTTCTTTTTCTATTCAGAACGTAATAAGAATAACTTTATGCACATTTAAAATGAATTTTCAAAAACATTTTTCTATTAAATTGGTCCTATTAGATACTGCACTTGTGTTTATCTAATTATAAGCATGTTTTACCTATCTATGTCTTGCTAAAATAGAGTTATGAGTCATTTTCCTTATCAACATCGTTAAAAATTTATTATTCTCTATATTATTCAACTTTATACCGATTTTTCACAAATAATAGATGATTTAAACCAAATTTTTTTAATTCGCATAGAGTTAAGTTAAAAATGTTAAAGTTCTAAGTGAACTTTTTGTTTCATTTCTTGTCGATGTCCTATATAACAATTTAGAATTACTGAAATGAATATAAAGATACGAACTGAGCACATATTAATGAACTTCATCAGAAGTTTAAAGTCCGATAGCCAATTTTTGGTACGGTCAACGTTTAGAGCATGAATTCATTTTATCAATTTTAACAATATCAATTAACTATAATAATAAAAATTGACATTGGCATAATTTTACATCTTATAAATTAATATCAACATTTATAAATGATTTCTTTATAAATACATCAATATCCTAGTCCATGTTAGAAAGATTTCTAACGTTAATATCATTTTAAAGCCTAATTTCGAGCAATTTTAATGCAATTAAATTGTCCGGTAAAAATTTCGTTTATGTAGACACTACTTAAAGGCAGAATAACGAAGCAGACCGAATTGACTGTATTAATTAGCTAGGAGTCACTAATCAATGGGTCACCAGAGACAATGGACAGATGATGCCGGTGCGTATAGTGGACAGAGTCCACCTGCCAGTACATCGATCGCTTACAAAGTGTGGAAGACCGAACCCTTCATCCGAAGACAAATGCAGACATCAGATAACGGACTCCATTTTTCTGTTAGATCTCGTGAACTCTAGACAGTTGTCTTGTTTGTCCTGGTCTCCTGCAGATGTCATGTGAAGACGACACACTTTGTCTTCACAACCCAACGCCATCACTGCTTCCTGTACCTGACATGGCTACTTAGTTGACTGTCTCGTAAATGATGACCGACTTTGACTCGTACTATGGCTAATAATTTCGTTAGAGTCGTTTGTCATACGTCACCGACTTTGTTTTTCTCTGGTTTATTGCTTAAAATATGGGATTCCATTCGTGACAATATTTTTTCCCCTTACTCCCGACCAATCGATATTATATGGAAATTTGCCGCCGGAGGTTTGACAAATGATATTAATATAATGAAAGCAATCCTCTAGGTATTTATTTACGCGTTAGGTTAATATTTAGCTGTTGATGGTGGATTTTGCATGAAAGTGGAACTTCGATGTATCTGCAGCTGTTTTGCTTTGTTTTATCGTTACTTGCAGCAGCTCTTGCGTTAGCAAACATTCTCGAGTAGTATTAACAAATCTCAGAGAAATTTTCTCAAATACGATCCTCACAAAATACAAACTTGTAAGGATTATTGAAAAAATTTCAAAATTTATAATTTCTTTTGTCCTCTGAAATCCTTAAAATTATTTGGAGTCTTTTTTTGCAAATCCTTACCCAATTTACTGAAGAAAATCCCCGATATTTATTTAAAATCTTTCACATTTCTCGAAAAACTAATTTTGCAAAATAATAGTTATTCTAAGCTTTCCTTAATTATTAAAAATTTAACAGTTTAACAGCTCTATTTTTTTTTCTTGCAAAGTTTTTAGTTATGAATAAAAGCATTTCCAACTTTCTTCAGATTAACAAAAATTCTACGTTTTAGGGAACACTTTCTTATCTAAAAACCGATGTTAAGTATAAATACTATTTAGTTACAGCGAACTGTTTATAGCATTGGAGTGTAGATATGATGTTTAAAATAAAATAGCAACAGAAAAAAAATTATACTGGAACTATTGTTCGAAGGAAATCTACAAATTAGTAGAGACAAAAGATCAAACACTTGTTGCTTATACTAGTAAACACCACTTCATGAATGCCAGACGTTCTGAGACTGTTGGCACTTCCTGACTGAGGAGTCGGGGAAACATCTCTTTAGCTTTCCTCACGACAGATGTAATGGTCAATGTTCCGGACAGTCTCCAGGTGGTTGGCAGCGAGCCTTGTTATCACAACCAACTGCAATTTTTTAGATTTATAAACATCCTCTTAGAAATTTTAAACATGGTCGAGTTTAAATGGGACGGCTGATACATGGCTTAACTCGGTATCTGCTGGTTTTTAACTTGTTAAGAATTTATATTTTGTTCCTATTTACTGTATGACAATGTAACTTTTATCAATATAAATTCCAGAGAGAAACAGAAAGAGGGAGGAGAAGATCGTTAAATATTTAGAAAGGAAGCTTTGCTGGTTGGAAACGTCATACCATCAAGATGAGGAGGAGGAGGAGGAAGAGAGAGGGTTTGAAGAGTACAAAGATACAAGTGACAGTGGTGTGTTGTTGCTATGGTAACAGTCACCGACGGAATTATGGTAGTGGAGACGTCGTCCCTTATCCAACGGAGTGAAAGAACATGAAACTAATTTCCTAGATTCCACGAGAAGTCCGCTAGTATCGACTTTTTCTCCCTCAATTCACAAGCCACTACATCTCAACACTACCCATACTCCGGCCAAATGGAATAATCCGCCATCTTATAAATTAAATCTTTTTCTTTATATAACGTTAAAAAACGTGAAAATTGTAAAATTTGCTTTGAATTTTTACCAATGTGATTTAGAATGGAGTAAATCTGCTACTTTTCTTTTTGAAAATGTAAATTAATTTTTTTTCAACGAAGTATTTTTGTATATTATTATTATACCTCAATCGTTTTCACAGTTGTTTTTTACCAATGTTTTCTTTGAAAAGAATTATTTTAAATTTGCACATTTATTTATATTTAAAATATTTCTAAAATTGACGCAGTGTGTCGCGTTAAAGTTTTAAAAAAGTGTATAAAATATGTGATATTTAATTTGTGTATTTTTGAAATTTGAACAAATGGAATTCATTTTGATAAAAAAAAAATTGATATTTTAATATCTTCGTAAGTGAAACGAGAAAATATCTCTTTAACGTTCAAATAAGTTATTGTTATGTTCTATATTGCTGTCGTTTTGGATTTACTTATTTATATTTATTAAACAATAACCGAAGCATAAAGTATTAAAAAATCGCGACAGAAACCGTACACATTTCTTGTTATTACAGCAATAAATGATCAGTTTAAAAACATTTTTTATTAGCTTGAACAACAATACCAATCGTATTCGTGCATCATCATCATAATCACTTAATTCGAGATCGTAATTTTTGATATCTATCATCATAATCCGTAACGTCACGCAAAGGCCGTAACTTACGCAAATCCTACACTGATACGATCATCAAATTAAAATTCTGCAAGCGTGAAAAACATATTAAGAGATCAAAAAAAATCTGAGAAGCAACTCGGTGGAAAACAGTGTAACAATCTAGTCACAGCAGCACCTGCTCCTCCAAATTCTCCCCGCATTGGGGCTCCGAGATCTCTCCAACCCCCCAAACTAGCGGCACGCGCCTAGAACGTGCCTGGTCGGCAGCGGATTTCCCCCGACCTATTCATGTTCGCAGGAGCATTATTGAGAGACTTGACTGGATTCACCTGCAATTCTCTCTCCGCTACTTAAATCAACTTTATCTTTGCATATCTGATGCTTCCGCGGGATTAAATTTTGTCACTCGATAATTAGATCGATGAGTTTCGAATTTCGATGATTAATATTCGTAATATTTATGAATTTGAATAGGTAATTAAAATTTTCAATTTATGATAATTATGAATTATATAAATTCTGATTTCAAATTACGCTACTTCATTCAATTTTAGAAGATATATTGCTGTAAATATATAAAAATTTAATGTATAGCACCTTACCACACTTCGCGAATATAACTTCTCATTCAATATCCCCTTTATTAAAATAATTCATACGGTAATAATATGCACATTTTAAAATGCTGATAGGTTATTCAGCAACCAATCAAGTGTCCCAGAACTTGATTGGTTGATGAATACCCTATCATTAGCTCAGGATTCGAAATAATCGATGTTTAAAATTTTAAAACGATTCTATAGAATTTCGCTAATTATAATCATATGAATAACTATTAGTTTATGTTATTAACAAAAGAGAGTAGCAATAGCGTCAGTTTTCGTCCTTATTCCCAAATTGCCGGCGGCCTATTCCCCAATCTACTAATATCAACTATATTAAATGAAGACATTCAATATAGTAATGTATGAACGATAAATATCATTTTACCTACATTAATCAATCTGCCATTATCTGAATAATCATCTCCTCGTTTCCAACACTCCACGGTAGTTTTCATTATTAATTGTTTATGATTATTACAAATGAGATATAATGTATAATTGGTCACTATGAAAAAATTACAACTAGTCAATTTACTATTATTAAAACTCCATTAATCAAGTAAGTGGCAGGTGCACAGGAAAAGCTGGTTTTGTATGAAGTGTTTAAGATAATCTGTAAAAAAAATTTTGGTGTAAACAGCTGTTATCAAATCTACTGAAGTGTTGATACATTTATATTGTTGTATTTAATTAAAGTTAATTAAGTCATATCCTTATATTCTATTATGTTGTTATGAAGACATAAAAATGTATTGTATTAAACAAATTAAGGTTCATATTTAAATTATAGATATATATACATATACATTTTGATTTAAAACTTGTTTATTAAATAAATCTTAATTTCATTATAAACTTAAAGCTGCTAATTAATTAAAAGTAATAATCTATTTTTTAATTACAAAAAACGCACATACAAATTTATTCTAAGTTAAGATAAATGATAAAGAATATAAAAATATTGTTTTTTAAATGCATAAACTAATGAAAAAACAAATTTTGGCATCTCTTTGTCTGCTGTAAATAAGTTAAAGTCTTCAATTTTGGTTCTTCTGGTGTTTTAGGGCCATCTTCACAAAACTAAAAGTAACATGCATTTTATAAAAAACAAAATTAATTTAAGGTATTCAGAAATAATGTTAAAATATAAAAACTACTATATTAAGATCTAAAATGCTTTTTATTAAATCATGAAATTTCAACACTGAAATATTTTTACAATTAAATTCAGTTATAAAAATTTTACTTTAAAGTTTTTTCTTGTTTTATAGAATCTGCTAACTGTAATCAGTGTTTCATATTATCAGAATTACAACATCTCAAAATATATAAGTTAATAATAAATAAATATTCAATTTATACATTTTTTAATGCACTCTTATTACTATCAGAATGGCCTTATCTACTTACTCTTCTTATTATCAATTAAGCATCATCATCAGTATAGTATTCCAAAGTGAATACAATAAGCAGATTCTACTGTATTATGTTCAGAGCCATTGAGAGGGAGGAAGGGGCTGAAGATTTTTCCTTGGGCTCAGAGAAATTTTAGGAGGACACTATGATTTCTACTTCTATAAATTAATTAATGTTATTTTTACTGACCAAAAAAATTCTTTAAATACTGCTTTTTATTAACAAAATAAAACATCCAATATATTTCATTTGTTAAAAAAAAAACCCCATTCTACTCCAGGTCCAATACTAGCTCTCAGCAGCCTTAATTATGTTAATTGTAAATACTTGTTTATAGTTAATTTGTTTGTAATTATATATAAATTTACTGTACAATAAATAAGTTAAAATTAAACATGTTTTAATTAAAAACTTCCATAAATATGAAACTGATTATCTAAAATTACCCTGTTAGTAGCAGAAAACAATGATTCTTCAGGAGTACTTGAAGATTCCTCTTGATTCTAATTTTTAATATATATTATTATTTAATAATTAAAGAATATACAAAATTATATTATGTAATATAATATTGAAAATAGAGTAAATTATAACAATGTAATATAATACTGAACTATTTTGAAAAAAACTCAATAGATAACTTACATCATTATTTTTCTTTCTGATACTCATTGTAAATTCTAAGAATTTTGTTTGCTAAATAAATAAATGTAGAAAATGAAACTAAAATACATAAATATTTGTTTCATTTCTAAAAGGTTACCTAAATATTTCATCACTTCTTTAAATATTCATATTTTGTGAGTTAATAAGTACTGTACCTTATGTTCAGACATTAACAGTGGTTCTTCAGGTGTATTTGAATCTATATCCTAAAAAAAGAAATATTTTTTATTCTTAATTACTATTGAGTTTGTTAACTGTAGATTATTTATAAAAACTATGTTTTCTATTTCAAATAATAAAAATTTAAAATTTTCAGACTTATTTCTTTCAAATCTTTCTAGATATTAATAGGAAAATAATCTCAATTATATCTAAAGTAACAAATAATTAATTTAATAATATAGTTTGAAAATTAAAAATTCAGTTACAAGATTGTTTTTATACAATTATATGAGTTCAAATTTAATTATTACTTATCTGATATCAAATTTATTCAAAAAACAATGAATAATTAAACATAATCTTTCAATGAGTATAAGAAAATAATTGATTTTAATATGTATACAAATTAATATTACCTGGGAATTTGCCAGACTAATACGAACTCCTAACTTTTGACTATAATTCTATATATTTAATATACATATATATTAATCTCTACTTTTTATATATAAAAAGTATAACTAATTCATTATGTGGTGATGTATGGTGATGATATATATTTATAGATAGTTTCATATTATAAAAATCAATCATCATTCAGTTTAATGTTTTTGCAGTTACAGATATATAAAAGCTCAAACTTACAAACTTAAGTCATTTATAGAAACTGAATGAAGGAATGTGAAGGAATATTAATTTTAAAATGTTAAATTGAATAAATATTTCTGATATTAATAATGTTAAACTGTTTATAAGTTAAAACAACACAAGAAAGACTTAGTGAATTATATTAACAATATATTAAAATGAAAATAATCATATACTTACTATGTTTTTCTTTTTTCTTAGAGTTTTTCTCAAAGATTCTAAGACATTCTTGTGCTGTAGATTTAGATATTTCATTATTATTAAAGTAAATTTTAAAATTTAATTCTAAATAAATTGATTGTGGGTAATTTCTGTTACATTGTACTATTCAAAAACAAATCTCATACCAAGTTTTATAACTACTGAATTAAGTAATGTTTTTAAGAATTGATACAATAAACATGACATGTATAAATATTAAATTCATGTTTATTTCTTCATATCTATGACAAAACGATATTTACAAAATAGATTATAAGGAATAACATACATACGTCGTAATTTGTAAGTATTGGTTCATCAGGTGTATTAAATGATTCATTATTTTCCTGAAATAATGAAACAAAAATATTTGAAATAGAAAAGATAAAGAACAAAAAATTATAATTATTATAAATTCATACTAAATTCACCTAAAAAAATCCTATTAATTTCAATTAAATCATTCTATACAGTAATTTAAGATATTTATAAACATCAAGCTTTTATTTTTACAACTAGAATATATTAAATGAAAAACCAGTTTTCAGTTCTCATTTGCTATCTATGGTGAAATCTTTGCAATAAAAATGACAAAACTTATCAATACAAAAATGATACTTACTTTATATTCTAACTGTACTGTTGATTCCTCTGGGATTGATTTATTATCCTGAAAATAATAGCTATGTTTAGACAGCATAAATAATTTAAAAAATAAAGCAAAATTTATGAACAAATTACTACTACAATAATAATTTGATAATATAAAATTATATATATATATATAAGACATGTTCATACAATTGTTTACAATAATAATCTCTTAATTATTAATACATTAAATATATATTATTTTGAATAATATATCATCATTTTATCATTATATCATATTTTTTAAAAAAGAATTACAACTATTTATTCATTAAACATTACTAATCTAATTGTACTATTACTCTAATTTTTATTTTAATTTATTTTAATTGGGTGGGTATTTTGATTCTTAATGTGGGAGGTGGTTTATTTTTCTCATTGAATGTTGTCATGTATCTTTTGTATAAAGAATAAAAAACGTTCATTAATTTTTATAGTATAAGCATTTGAAGGATAAAAAAACAATACTTCTGTAATTGGATCTAATTTTAGAATTTTGTTACAAAATACACCTTAATTATCCCTTGGAAAATAGTTATTAATTATAAAATATTGAAAATATCTTGAATTTAAAAATAATTTTACCATTTTGTACAGTTTATTTTAAAATAGTTTCATTTTATAATGATGGGATATTAAATGTATACAATATATAAAAAATAACTAATCTATTATTTAAAAAAATTAATATCTGAGATCAATGTAATAACAAACATCAGTAATGGTATAAACAGATCAGTGCTTTAAAAACAAAAATTTTCTTGAAATGAGCCTTAAAATTACATGATTAAAACTGATTTTTTGTATTATTTCCAGTGTTTTGAATGAAATCAAACAGAAGCTATGTAATTTCTTAGGTTACAAAAGAATTTGGAAATCAAAACTTTTCGTTGTGTTTATTTATTCTTAATAATTGTTTCTTTGATAATTATTAAAATAACACTTAATAACTAAAACAGAAATATTTTCATATTACTGGTTTTTGTTCAAGTTTTTAACTTTACATTTTAAATTAAGACTATACTTAATTACATTTAAACTAGATTTGTATAAAATAAAATCTAGTTTGAATAAATCATACTTAAAAAAAGTTATATATAAATTGCTTGAATATTTTTTTTGTTAAATGTCAATGCAGAAAATTTTATAGAAATAAAAATACAAATATTTTAAGAATTAAATTTAGCACTTATTATATATAAATCTGATTTTGTTCTTTAAAAACAGAGCGATTTAATAAACAAATAACTAATTCTGATTACAATATGGTTCTACAATTATTTAAATTACTTTTTTTTGGGTCTGAAAATTAAGAAAAAAGTCAAGACATTTAAATCTTAGTAAAATGATAATCATTTGTATAATCAGATTCTGACACAAATCCTGACTGAGTCAAATGTTTCTAGGCAAACTTAAAAATTTTTAAATAGTTATCTTTAAATATAGTTTGGTAATATTTGACAATATGTTAAAAGATATTAAATAAAATTATTAATAAATATTGATATATCTATAAACTTTATTGCCAATAAGTATCCAAACATTGTACTTTAATAATTAAAAGAATAATTACCAATATTGAGATAAATATAGTGAACTTTTAACAAAAGGAATTCAGAATAACAGAAAACTATTAAACTTTTCTCTTATGTTCTCTCATAACTATTAAAATTATTATTATAAGAAAATGCAGGAAATTTCTTAATTAAAATTTTGAAGCTTAAAAATAGATTAAAATATTTTAACAATAATTTAAATGTCTACGATCTTTAGCTATTAATAAATCTTTCTTTATGATATTTATTTATACCTTTAATGTCTTGAATTACATTAAAAAAAAATATTTGTAAAAATTCTGATAAAACTTAAATTTTTTTTACATATTTATATATGAAATAATTGAAAATGTGCAAAAGTAGAATGAAAAATACTAAAAATTAATTTATTTCAATTAATCAATTCTGATAGAGAAAAATTTTTAAATATAAAAGTCTGTTACATAAATTAACCTGAAAAAATATTTAAAATTTGGCTGTTCAAAACAGATATAAAATAAGATAAAATCTTTAAAAAATTAATTGTACATCATTTTGTTTTAAAAGTTAATTGCACCAAAAACAGAAAAATTGGAATATGTGCATAAGAATCATATAACTGTTTTGTATAACTGGTAAAAGAAGTTGAAAAGAGGAGATACGTAAACCATTATGTTATTATAATCAAACATTACATACAATTGTTATAAATTTTTGGATTCAAAAATAATAATATAATTAAAGTATGATTTCTTTAACAAACAAATTAAGTAATCACTAGTTAGAATAATGAATTATTATTTACTGAGAGAGACAATGTCTAAAAACATATCTTTCATTATTATTTGTAATCACAATATTTAACATCTTATAACTTTGTGATATTTCAGTTTTAAATTTTTAATATTTTTCAATACTAAATAGATTATAAATTTTTATATATGTGTAATTGAAGTTAAACTCAGAATTTATAACTTTAAATAATGTGTAAACAAATGCAAAATTAATTTATAATCTGTATATTCTAAATGTAATTTTTAATTTTTATTACATAGTACTTAGCACAAATTTTCAGTAAGTATAAAATGATCATATGTTACTATATATTATTACTTGATAGTTCTGTTCTAAAAGTTTTTTCAGCACAGATTATTATATTGTCAAAAAAATCCCTTTCAATACAAAATAGTTATATGATTCTTTTTGTATTGACCTATTTTGTATAAAAATATATTTTTCTAAAGTAAATTATTTTTAATTATTCTAAAATTTTGAATAATAATAAAAGATTAACTTTTGATCAATAAAGTAATAAAGCAATATAAAAACTTGATTAAAAATTAAATGTGACTATTCAACATATTCATATTTATCTGTTTATTGTGAATAATGGTAAATAAAATAATAGTATCATAAATGTTTATATAAAGATAAAGAGTAATAAATTAATATAACATGCAGATTAAAAATTATATTATTTAATTGTGAAAATGAAAACAGGCAATCAAAACTGTCAATCTTTCAAATCCCATCTAAACTTTCCCATCCAATTGAGTTAATCAATGAAACAATTACTTTTTCCATCTCCATAATTGTGCAATTTATTTAATTGAAGCATAATAATAAACATTTCATTGAAATAAAATTATAAAAAGATGAAGTCATATCAAAATCATATAAAAAGCAATTATATTTGTTCAATAATTACTATCATTTAAACACCCCAATAAACAAGCAATCAAGATTAACACATAAATTGATGAAGCTTCTAGGTTAGTTATTCAAGTAATAAAGCTTGGATTAATTTCACAAACATTAATAATTCAAATCTAGGGCTTTTCAGTTATGAAAACTAAATAAACTAGACAAATATATTTAATTTGGAGTTTGCTAAAAACAGATTTTTTGTTGTTTGAACTTATTATAGATGCTAAAGTTCAATACAGTAGATGGAAACAGTTATATACTGTTTAAACACAAACTTGGACTCAGAAATTTACACTCAACTTGGACTTGAAGACACTCAAAACAACAGAGTTTTGCTAAACTCTTTTCACATCTATTACAGTAGAGTCTCGAAAACTCGGCCTAATGTGGACCGAAGGGTGGCCGAGTTTGTGAAAATGCCGGGTTATCGGGAATGGGGTTAAAAAAAATAAGTATGAGTGCTTCCTCAGAAAATACTGTACTGTACTTGTATGTATTGTTTACTTGAGAATACAACAGAGAATAAACTGCCCAAATACCCTTAAACAAAGGAAAAGTATGTCCTTTATGAAGGCATAGAGCCTTTACTACATGAAAATGAAAATTAATGAATACACTGTGTACAGTAATTTACCTGATAAGACAGACCTCAGAAAAATACTTTATGAGGCATAAAGCTGTCTATAATGAAAATTAATTAACTAAGGATTTTTTTGCCCTGCCAGAATGTGGCCGCGTTATCCAGACTGCCGGGTTATCGAGTGCCGAGTTTTTGAGACTCTACTGTACTCAGCTATCTTTTTCTATCTATGTTTTCTATGTGATTTAACTTATCTTTGCAATTTTTTGAGTGTTTCTAGATCACCATTTATATTAGTGAATTATCAAAATTAAGTTTCAATTTATTTTATACGAGTAATTTTACAACTATTATTTTATTTAACTAGTCAACCATATAACATGTACTGTACATTAGTGTATAAAAAAGGAAATTATTTTTGAAAATTCAATCCAATAAATAATTTAAATCATGTAAAAAATTCCAAAATATTTATAAGTAAAAATAAACAATGTAAGTAATAAAATAAAGTGAGTTTATATATTGCATTTATTAAAATAGAAAGTATAAATGCTAAGAGTCATGTTTGCATACTTTCAATATAATGTGTAATAATTATTTTAATATTATACAATACTTACAGTTTTTATATTTGGTTTTTGTGGCATTAGATTTGTCCTTTTAAACAAATTTACTGTCACATCCTCTTCCCAATTTTTAAAGGGGGATCCTCTTTCCATTGCTTTTCCAACAAACTTCTGATTTAATTCTATGTGATATTGTGGAGATTGATCATGCTTTAATTCAAATTTAGGGACAGGATCTTGCAAACAACAAATATAATAATTATACTTCTTAAAAATTATTGTTAATATTCAAATAATACCTCTATTTGTTCAAACAACCACTTAAAAGTTTTTTTTTTTTTTTTTTTTGACAGTTCAATGTACCTGTGATGCCCTTCTAACTCTAATAGTTAACAGAGGCCAAGGATCACTCAGATGTGTGTTAACAAATTCTTTTTATTATATGCACTTCCAAATGGTAACTAGTTGATTGCTCATCAATAAATACATGTAATCCACAACAAGAACACCATTTCCTGTTTTACAATCAATCACCTACTATATAATAGCACCTACAGTTGACTATAAATTATAAATCATATTGTCTGTTTGTGATAAAAAAAGGTAATTTTATTTCAACTTTACAAAAAATTTACTCACTTACAATGGATCACAAAGATAGATTAGAATATCAGCAAAAGTTGAACAAAATGTTTTTGTTAAACGAATACCAGAATGAAATGCTGAAGAAGTGGATAAATGCATAAATATAAAGTTAAATTTAAAGAAGAAATAAAGTACATCTCTATCCCTTATATTAAAAATAATTCTGAAAAATTTTTAAAATATTTAGGAAACATTCCATTGTGTTGGCAGCAATTTTATTTTTTTTTAAAAATGAATTTAAAGAATATTTGTTTATAAATTGAGATAAAACTATACAGAATATATTAAAGAAATCTGGAGTCGTATACAGTAATACCCTGACTTACGCAAACCTGGAGTTACACAATTTTCAAATCTCGTTGATTCGTCTTTTGTTTGAGCGCCACGCAACCCTTGATTACTCACCCCCCATACTATTGTTCAGCTTACATGTTCGGATGTGTCGCGCGGAATCCACACATAGCTACAATTTATTTTGTGTTATTTATTTCTGTGTTTGTTATATCTACGGAGACTTGAGAGATTCTACTATGTCATCCAAACGAAGTAAAACTAATTGTTATGCATCAAACAAGAAAAGAAAAACTTTATCTTTGGAATGTAAAGTTAATTAACATTAGGTATGTTCATAAAGTCGAACGAGTTAAACGAGAATGACGTCATCGTTATTCCTATTTCGTTAGACTTTTCGAACGATTCGTTACTAACGCATTTAACTCATTTGACTTTACAAACGTACCCATTATTAAAGACTTCGATACAAAAATGAAAATTTGTGAATTGGCAAAGAAGTTTGATCTACCGGAATTGTCGGTCAGAACAATTATAAAAGGCAAAGAAAAAATTCTCGAAGCTGTGAAAAATGCTCAATCTTTAAATTCAAGCATCATTCGTAAACGTCACAGTATTATCGCTGAGATGGAAACAATGTTAAAATTATGGCGTAATAATCAAGTAAATGTGAAAAATTGTAAAATAATATAGGCCTAATTTGTTATACATATGTATTATCTAAGATTTTATTAAACATTTTTTTCTAAATTATTGTTTTCTTTAGTCTCCGGTCCCAATTAAAAATTATTTGTATGTATTTATATGCAAAATTATACCCCAACTTACGCGGTTACCGCTCGATCCCACCTATCACGTAAGTTCGGGGTATTACTGTACTGTACTATACTGTACACGACATTTTTTACATCACTCCTATTTGTGTGAGAATAATGTTTATTATGTTGGTGAGACTGAAAGAATGTTGGAGATGAGGTTAAAAAAACATGAAGCAGCAATTTCTCTAAAACACTCACAATCTACTTAGTTTCCTCATTGCAGTACAAAAGAATATACAATTAACAAAAGCAATATAAAGATTTTGTTTATAGAACATAATTTATATTTATGTTGATTTAAGAACATATTGCAATTATGAATAATATTAATTTGATTAATTTAAATAATGGAATGTCAGTTGATGACATTTGGAATAACATCAATTATAATGATAAGTAATTAATCAAAATGTTATGCAATATGGGATGACATCTGTTGGTGCTATTATGTAGGTGTGATTGATTGTAAAACAGGAAGTGAGATTCTTGTAGTGAATTACATCTATACATCTATTTACTGAAGCCAGATCAGCAAGTTACCAATCTGAAATGCATATAATAAAAAGAATTTGTTAACACTCACTTTCTGAGTGATCCCTGGCCTGTTTTAACTGTCAGAGTTAGAAGGACATCACAGGCACGTTGAATTGTCAAAAAAAATCCCCTTTAAGTAGTTGTGTGAACAACTAAAAAATCCAACACACATTGCTATTTTCAGTTTAATTTTTATTAAAGTACTTCTATTTGTTTTCTTAAACATATTTTTAATTATTTAATGTGTAGTTAGGTAAACTGGATTGCAACACTTCCATAATCTCGACAAGTGTACAGTAAGACCCTGCTTAATGCTGCCTCAATTAATGCTAATTCAATATAACAGTCTGCTCAAAGCCTAAATAAAGCTCAAAATTTATGCCAATTATTGCAGCATTTCATCAATTCGTATATATGATTATTCCCAAACATGAACCAATTGGCAAAAGGTGGCAATTTGTCGCAGCACTGTATTTTCCTTAAATCTATGTTTGTTAGGTGCAATTTTGGAAAAAATATAACATCACGGATGACATAGGCAATATCGACTTGGCTTGGCAAGAATTAACTGATAAATACATGAACAAAGTGTGGAAGAAGTTATGGCTGAAGGTATCCAAGAATTCTCAACGAGAAGAGCCTAATCCATACAGCAGGACTAGATATAGACAAGCAGGATATTGAGGAGTTACTATAGGTTTCTGGTTTCTGTTACCAATAATGACCTTCCAGAACTTGCAGAACAAGTAATTCATGTAGAACTGGAAAATAGTGATTCTGAAAATAAAGAACCCAAAGAAATTTTCTACAGATTTCCTTAGTAAAAGTTTGGAAAAAATAACCGAAATCGTTCATCAAACTATAGCGAATAATCCAGATTTTGAAAGGAGTGCAAAAGCAAGAAGCATTTTGGATGCAATCTCCTGCTACCAACATTTGCTTAAGGAAAGAAAAAAAAAGTGACATATGAAACTATCAATACATGACTTTATGACAAAATACAAGTATTTCAGAAAAGTCAGGACCTTCATCACAAAAATGAACTTTACATTTCTGTGTGCATATGTTTATACGTTATGTAACATATTATTATGTAAATTAATATAAAAATAACTTTTTTTTATTTAGTACAAGGAAAACCCTGTATGTACGGGCTATTATAACTAAAATTACAAACTGTAATAAATAACAAAACAAAAGAACATTAATACAATATAACGCGTGACAATTAGACTGAAAAGAAAAAATAAAAGATAGCACAAGGTTAATATCATCCAAAATAATATTATTTACATTCTTATGAGTAAAATATATGAACAAGACAAATGAAAAAATGGCAGCGAATGGTCGGCGTTTACAGAATAAAAGAAATAAAAGAAAAAACAAAAATAAGCAATTACCTGCAAAAGAATAAACAATTATTTAAAATACGCCCAAAAGCGCCGACCATAAATGCTGCCAACTCTCAAACACTAAATCATTCACTTAAATAGTTAATTTACACCTCCTGGTGGTAAGCATCTAGAAAGGAAAAGTTTCTTAATCTTAACAAATAAGTAGTCAATCATTTAACTTAGTTACAAAACTATAAATACAATAATATTTATCCCAGTCCTGCAACAACCGTTTATATGCTTGAACCGAAAAACAATCTTCACCATAACACTTTTGTCTGAGTGCAGTCAACGCCTAATATAAAAATAACTTAAAATTAAAGTAAAATCTGTTTATTTTTGGTCGCGTGTTCCCCTTTCCCTATTTACTCGGTGTTAAAATGACCTCGTTTAACACTCTTTCATTTAGCGCTTTGTCGTCTAAGAACATAACCCACGCGTTAATTAATTAAGAGTGATCTTACTGTACTTTGTAATTTAATGTAAGTGTCGCTGTCATTAGTTTACATGATATCTAACATCATTTGGTTTTAGATTAATTTCTTAATATTTTATAACTTTGTTTAGTGTAATTTAATTTATCAGTTTCAAAGATTTGTTTCTTGTTTAAATAACAAATTTTTGGAGTTAATATTTGATATTTTCTTTTTTATTGTTTTAATGGCAGAATTAGTTAAAGATCAACAGTTATCATGGCAAAAGTGTACTTCAAGAGATTTTTTTCATTTTTTAGAATCGGATTTTCCTGAAATTGATGTTGACAAGAGAATTTCATCAGATGTTAAGTTTGCCATAGAGTTTGGTTTGCAACCTGTCGATATAGATTGTTTGAATTGTTCTGGTCATTGTAAATCAATTTATCGAAAGGATCTAGATTCTGTTTCTTTTAGATGTTATAAATGCAAGATGAGCAGTTAGTCATTTGAACTATTTTTGGAAAATTTTCTAGGGGAACTATTTTGTTTTTTATTTGGCATCTAATTTGCATAGAATATATGTTGAGTATGACCAGTTTGGCTGTGGACGTTAGTAGTCAAACAGCTGTTGAATGGGTGAATTTCATATGACATACTATGATGGTTATCTTGTATAATTCATCTCAAATGAAAATTGGTGGACCTGGAAAGGTTGTCAAAATCGATGAGATTGTTGTGAGCAAAAAGAAAAACCAGGAGAAAGTTTTGACCTGTTTGTTTAGTATACAAGTAAGATTTATCCAGGAGCGGAACATGTTTCAGTTTGGAAAGAGCCAGAAATTGTAGCTTCAGGTCTAAAATTAAGTACCAATAAATCTGAAAATCTTAAGAGAGAACATGTAGACACGTGTTAAAAAATCCAGAAAAAGTTTCTACAATGGAAAAGGATAAAGTTATGAAAAAATTAGCAGAACAGTGTTCTATACCGAAGAAATTGAAGAAAAGGAAAAAAAAATATGTTAATTGTAAATGGAAATTGTTTTCTTTAAAAACAGGCATAGTTAGTAGTTGTGTTGGTCACCATCTTGGTTGTGGACATAGCATTCAAAAACAAGATATTAATTCTTAAAATAATGAAATTTCAAACTAATAAAAAATACATAGCATTTTAAATTTAATACCTTTCCTTGTTTCTTTTGAGTATGGCATAAATAAACCAGGAGTAATAACTACATCATCATTAAAATATGATGGTGTTTGCATTTTCACATCATTTATATTATGATAACCTCTGCAAAAATTTCTACATTCAGTTTTTAAAGCAAATATATCCAATGAAAAATATATACAATATATCTATGCATATCTTACCGATTCAATTTAGGAGTCACTATAATCATTTGTGTAGGTATATTATTTTTCAACCTTTCATCAATTTTGTTATATAAATTTGGCAGAGATCGAAGAGGTAATGTAGGAGTTGTCTTCATTTTTTGTTTTTTTTCTTCAATATCTGGATCAGAGCTATAAATATACATAACATTGAAAAGTGATGTAAAATTCATTTCTTTCTACTTAAGCATAGTATAAAATATAAAATTAAATTTTACATAAAATTGTTGATTAAGACAGTATGTAAAGTTGTGATATAGATTGTTGCAACATTTTTAAATAAAGAAATTTTCTCTAAATATTAAAAATTTCAAAATAATTTCTTCAGTACATTTATTATATGATTTAAAATTTTAAATCTAATATATAGAATGTAAATATAGAGTTTTATATACAATTTTATATTTACATATAAATATGTAAATATAAAACTGTTTTATCTTTCCATTAAAATATATATATATATATAATGTTGCTATATCAAATAGAAACAATTAAAGTCATTAATTAATAAAAGTATTTAGTCATTTATTGGTTTCATATGAATTGAATTTTACATGAAGAAACTTTTTATTTTGGTATATAATATGAATGTCATTATGTAAATTGATTATAAAAAGTAATTCTCAATAAAATTTAAAACTATCTAATTAGTCAGTATAATAATAATAAATATTTCTTTTATAAAATTTGAATTTGTTATTTACAAAAATTAAAAATGTTTCATTATAAACAATTATCTTATAGAGAAATCAAATGTTTTTATTACCTCAAAAACTTAATACATTTGTCAAAATGGAATCTGCCTAAATGGAAAAATTTTTGCTATGAAATGATTTTCTATATTAAGTTTTATTATAAGCTAGAAAGTTGTCTAATGCAAAAATGGAAAAACTTTATGAATTCAAAGAATGTAACCTAGTCAGGATAAAGTAGAAAATTAAGACTTCACTCATACAGGTATAATAGTCATCGAAGAGCATGACAAACTCTATTCCAAAAGTAATTTTGAGCTTTGTCAGTGAAACAAGAGATGACAGAGTTTGAATTTTCCCCCAAACCTGGAGAAAATTTACAGGCATGTAATAATTCATGTCTGTATAAATAAATGTTATTTTCACTAGAAAAAATAAAATCATTACAACTACTTTTCATCAATAAAAGAGCATTCAACATACTTCATTTGTTTAGAGGCATCAAATGGCAAAAGAGTTCTGTAAAAGAAAAATGGATAAGTACTTGTGTGGAGCCTGCTCTAACCCAGGCTTTATATAAGCTCTAGTGGCCCTGTACAGACCAAGGCCTTTATTGGAATTAGCCAGAGGTAGAATCAAATTCTGTGGAACATTCATAAAACCAATAAGAATAAGGTAACAGATGCTGCCCTTTGTCTTGTATGATATAATTAACTAACTACAGTGGTGCCTTGACTTAAAGTTTCATTCATTCCATGACGGAACTCATATCTCAAATTACTCATATGTCAAATCAATTTTCCCCATTGAAATGAATTGAAATGCCATTAATATGTTCCAGATCCCCAAAACACTGATTTTCTGTTACATGTTTTTAAATAATAAAAAATATACTTATAAATAATATTGTATAAAAACACAATAGAATGTACTGCAATAAACTGGTTTTGCAGATGATGTGGTGTTCACTGCATAGATAAAGAAAGAAAAGATGAAAAATTCAAGAAATGAGAGATGGTGGCACCGCACATAACGTGGAAGTGAATTTAATGCCTACGTCACTTGATCATGTGTTTTTCTTTAAGCAAGCCTGTCAGACATTGGAAGGGTAATGAAAATGACAAAATTACAGCAGTTTTCCAACTTCTTTTTCTTAATCTATGGTTCGCTGTGGCATTTGCTGTACTAACTAGTGGTGACGTATCTGAAGCTGGCTCGTAACCCAAAATTTAGCTCTCAACTTAAAGCAAAAAATCAACCAAGAGATGGCTCATATCTTGAAAAACTCGTACCACTGTTGTACCAAATATTTGAAAACAAGGTGACTAACTTGTTAATAATTAAAATGATTGAAATAAATGATTAATTAGAGTATTAAGATTCCTTGAGAAGCCAGATCACAGAATAGCCTTGTCTCTATTCTTTGTGTTACTGTAATGTGATTGGAATTTCTGACGACTGAGCAAGACCCTAGTTTTTGGAACTCAAAATTTACCGTCATACAATTTCAAAGATTGCATCTGAGAAGTATATGGATCTCTACAACAAGTTCAAAAGAACTTTGAAAACTTCATAGAATCGAATAGTTCTCAATTCTTGTACTCAAATATTCCTATCTTTAGTTATAATCACATTGAATTTATTTAGATTAAGGCCTAGTAATAAATTTTTTTTTTTTTTATATATGCAAAAAAAGTGATTTAACTATAAAAATGGAACATAACTGTGATATTTATCTGTTGTAATTTAAAGATCAAAAATAAAAAAGTACTAAAATTTGTTCAAAATGGAAAACAATTCAGTACCATATGATTCCAATTTACACAGGTATTATCATATTTGCAAACTGACTAGTTTTTTTGTATTGATAAATTGAATTTGAAGAATAATGTTAGGTAAGTGTAGGTAAACAATGTTTTTGTTTCTAAAATTTTTCAATTCATAAATTTAGATATATTAATAGATTAATCATTTATTGGTTGAGAAATATTGTAAAGATTACTTTATGCAAAATCACCAATATTATGAAAATCATCTTCTATGAGAAGTACTTATTCAATAATAATAGTCTTTAAGAGAAGTTGTATTGTATCAAAAATAGTTATTTATTTGGTGAAAATGCAGTTAGAAGTATGCATTATTCATTCTAAATGTAATATGTATTTCTAAAAGTTTATTAGTACTACATCAGAACATTTTCAGCTTGAATAAAAATTTCACTGAAAACAGATATAAAAAAAACTAGCAGTTTCTAACAGAACTGAATGTGTTGCCTTGATTATCCTCAATTATTATTGTTAATAAAGTTAATATATTTTTTTAATGTTAATTTTGATACTTTTAAATTTAAAAAGTAATAGTTTTTCCAATGGAATGATTTTATACCATTATTTACCCATTACTCTGATTATTGGAGAATTAATCATTACTTGATAATTAATCAGTGGAGAAGCTGATTAGTACAATTAATTTTTAGTAAACACTAATGTAATACTCAGTACATCTCTATTATATGAATATAATGTTATTTATTATATTTATTTTATATATATATATATATATACAAAAACATCTCTAAACCTGATATATTTGCAATAAGCCAAATAACTACCAGAGAACATCAAGTTACTTTTCTGCAATTATATTTAATTAATTTCTAAATAATTTGTCCTGGAGGGAGGCATTAGGTGCCATCTCTTATTAAATTTAATAATTATAATTAAATAAAAGAATTTAGAATATTTTGGAAGAAAAGAATTGGCATTAAGTGGGAACTCAAACCTGCAACTCTAACATGTGTGGATACGTTACCAGTTATGCTACCTGAGTCTGATTTCTTCCAGATATATTTAATTATGATATAACCATCTTCAGTTACTTATGGTTATTTAGAAATTAATTAAATATAATTACAGAAAAGTAGCCCAATGTTATCTGGTAGTTATTTGGCTTATTATATACATATACAGTTGACCCCCCCTATAACACAGTAGATACATTCTGTTCTTTATGAAATTAATGTTCCACGATTCCTTAAATACATGAGCCAATCGCAGCCCGTCACATATGCAGTTTACGGACTATGGCTGTTTGAAAGGTTCTCTTCCATAAAATAAATCAATTCTAGACTAATTCGACTCAACATTTCCAAAATAAAGATGAAAAATTCAAGAAATGAGAGATGGTGGCACCGCACATAACGTGGAAGTGAATTTAATGCCTACATCACTTGATCATGTGTTTTTCTTTAAGCAAGCCTGTCAGACATTGGAAGGGTAATGAAAATGACAAAATTACAGCAGTTTTCCAACTTCTTTTTCTTAATCTATGGTTCGCTGTGGCATTTGCTGTACTAATTAGTGGTGACGTATCTGAAGCTGGCTCGTAACCCAAAATTTAGCTCTCAACTTAAAGCAAAAAATCAACCAAGAGATGGCTCATATCTTGAAAAACTCGTACCACTGTTGTACCAAATATTTGAAAACAAGGTGACTAACTTGTTAATAATTAAAATGATTGAAATAAATGATTAATTAGAGTATTAAGATTCCTTGAGAAGCCAGATCACAGAATAGCCTTGTCTCTATTCTTTGTGTTACTGTAATGTGATTGGAATTTCTGACGACTGAGCAAGACCCTAGTTTTTGGAACTCAAAATTTACCGTCATACAATTTCAAAGATTGCATCTGAGAAGTATATGGATCTCTACAACAAGTTCAAAAGAACTTTGAAAACTTCATAGAATCGAATAGTTCTCAATTCTTGTACTCAAATATTCCTATCTTTAGTTATAATCACATTGAATTTATTTAGATTAAGGCCTAGTAATAAATTTTTTTTTTTTTTATATATGCAAAAAAAGTGATTTAACTATAAAAATGGAACATAACTGTGATATTTATCTGTTGTAATTTAAAGATCAAAAATAAAAAAGTACTAAAATTTGTTCAAAATGGAAAACAATTCAGTACCATATGATTCCAATTTACACAGGTATTATCATATTTGCAAACTGACTAGTTTTTTTGTATTGATAAATTGAATTTGAAGAATAATGTTAGGTAAGTGTAGGTAAACAATGTTTTTGTTTCTAAAATTTTTCAATTCATAAATTTAGATATATTAATAGATTAATCATTTATTGGTTGAGAAATATTGTAAAGATTACTTTATGCAAAATCACCAATATTATGAAAATCATCTTCTATGAGAAGTACTTATTCAATAATAATAGTCTTTAAGAGAAGTTGTATTGTATCAAAAATAGTTATTTATTTGGTGAAAATGCAGTTAGAAGTATGCATTATTCATTCTAAATGTAATATGTATTTCTAAAAGTTTATTAGTACTACATCAGAACATTTTCAGCTTGAATAAAAATTTCACTGAAAACAGATATAAAAAAAACTAGCAGTTTCTAACAGAACTGAATGTGTTGCCTTGATTATCCTCAATTATTATTGTTAATAAAGTTAATATATTTTTTTAATGTTAATTTTGATACTTTTAAATTTAAAAAGTAATAGTTTTTCCAATGGAATGATTTTATACCATTATTTACCCATTACTCTGATTATTGGAGAATTAATCATTACTTGATAATTAATCAGTGGAGAAGCTGATTAGTACAATTAATTTTTAGTAAACACTAATGTAATACTCAGTACATCTCTATTATATGAATATAATGTTATTTATTATATTTATTTTATATATATATATATATATACAAAAACATCTCTAAACCTGATATATTTGCAATAAGCCAAATAACTACCAGAGAACATCAAGTTACTTTTCTGCAATTATATTTAATTAATTTCTAAATAATTTGTCCTGGAGGGAGGCATTAGGTGCCATCTCTTATTAAATTTAATAATTATAATTAAATAAAAGAATTTAGAATATTTTGGAAGAAAAGAATTGGCATTAAGTGGGAACTCAAACCTGCAACTCTAACATGTGTGGATACGTTACCAGTTATGCTACCTGAGTCTGATTTCTTCCAGATATATTTAATTATGATATAACCATCTTCAGTTACTTATGGTTATTTAGAAATTAATTAAATATAATTACAGAAAAGTAGCCCAATGTTATCTGGTAGTTATTTGGCTTATTATATACATATACAGTTGACCCCCCCTATAACACAGTAGATACATTCTGTTCTTTATGAAATTAATGTTCCACGATTCCTTAAATACATGAGCCAATCGCAGCCCGTCACATATGCAGTTTACGGACTATGGCTGTTTGAAAGGTTCTCTTCCATAAAATAAATCAATTCTAGACTAATTCGACTCAACATTTCCAAAATACGTATAATTTTTTGGGAATAATCCATATGAACTATGCTATAAACAAAAAATTGTAGGATTACTTACTGAGTGTGCACCGTTCGACGACGCCATTGCTTAAGCTTGTTTTTGTCGTGGAGCTTGTCATTGAATGGTGCTCGTGTGCTTCCTGATAAATTATTTTTTTTGTGAAAAATTCGCTGAACTTTTGAGACATCATTAATATAAATATAATTTTTATGGACGTTAAATAATAAATGGTTTTTAGTAGGTCTGCTGCTTGTTTAAAATCAACGGTTTGTACAATATACGCTATTGGTCTAGATTTGACCGATCCTTTCGTGACACAAGTCGGCGATGACGTTTTACCAAATTATATGAGTTTTTCAAGCCTGTTTGTACGAATACAATCACAATTTTTTCACCGTCATAGAAATCCAAACAATATGAACCTGTTTTATAGGGGGGGTCTACTGTACATATGTATAATATACATAAATATAATCACAACATAATATAAAATCATAAATTTATAAATTTAAAATTATGATATTAATTAAAGATCTAACATTTTAAAGTTATGTAAAAACATAACTTATAGCTTAAAATAATGGTGACCAAACTATGACCATTGGACCAAATTTGGCCCATGGCATAAGTTAATCTGGTTCACAAATATATTTAAATATCACTTAACAAATAATAGAAATAAGCTTATTTTTGGTATATATAGAATATATAAAATATTTGTGGCTGCCTACATATGACTTATACACAGTTTGGCCTATCAATTGAAACGTTTGGGTTTAAAATATTAATTTATAAAATATTTGTTAATTACAAATCATAAAAAATATAATGTATAATTTGAAATACCATTCTTTAGGTTCTTTTTTATTATTTTCCTCAATTGCATTTTTTACAGGTTCTTCTTTTACATTATTTTCAATTTTTATACCTGCAAATCAAATATAAAACATTAAAATATGATTTCTATAATGAAAATTACAAAGTATTAAAAAGCATTACCAGATCATAAAATATACTAATACAAGAAATGTTCATGAAAGACTGAGACTGATTTTTTTCTTACTTGTTAGTTGGTATTTATTGTTGGTCAACACACATGATCCTTTTTAAAATAGTCTCTACTAAGTGCAATGCATTTTTGCCTGTCTTCAAATATATGGTGAAAGCTATTTTTGAACAACTCTTTCAGAATTGCCTTGGATTGTTTTAAAACTGGCAGTTTGTAAATCAACGCCTGCAAAGCTGTGCGTTGAGCACAAAACAAAAAGTCACAGGAGGAGAGATAAGACTAAAATCTCATAAAATCTCTCTTGTGTTCCATATCAGAACATGAGAGATTTTATGAGATCAAATATTTCATCACAACACCTTGCATTATTATAATGAAGTCATTATCCATGCAGAATCAGGCATGGTCTTTTTCTTGAAATATGTCGCTGGACAAAACTTATATGTAGTACTGTCTGGTAACCATATATTTGGCAGTACTACATACTGGTATGCCATACTGAGATGATCAAAGAAGATAATCAATCTGTACTGTTCCTCTTGCATGATTTCTGGAGGTAAATTGTCATAGGCTTTTCTACCTGATGCCATTGCTAGTAACTGTAATATCATCTCATAATGAAATTTGGTCTGTACATGTAAAAAGATATTCTTTTCAAATATATTACTTTTTCATTGATATCATTGGAAGAAAAGAATTGGCTGTTTTTTTTTTATAAGAAAATCAGTCTGTTTTTCTTGAACATCCCTCATACATAATATTTTTAGTACAAATTTATTTTATATTATTGTTATTTTATTTGCTTGTTGCTATTTTTCTTTTGAATGTAGTATAAATTTCTTTGTTGCATTTTAAAATTTTATTATATTTAAACAAATATTACAATATTACAACTAGGAATGGCTTTTTTCAACAAGTCATTGCCATAATATCTTTTAATAAAAAGATAATGACATGAATCATGAATAATTTTTAAAATGTAAACTTGATTCTTGATTTACACACACACACATATATATATATCAGCAATTTTGGTTTCAAAGAAAATTAATAATACAAATTGTACATATAATTTTTTTATCATAATAAAATTATTATGTAGATTCAGAAATTTTAACATTTATAAATATTTACAATGTTCAATGTTAACTCAGGACATTCTTCAATATTTTAATTTTTGAAGTTATAAAAAAAAAAAAAAAATTAAAATTTATAAATATCTTTTCTTTTTGTAATTATATCTTGTTTGTTGCGTCATTATGATATAAGTAAAAATGCTAAAAGAAATTAATGTAAAAATGAACATTAAAGAAATACAGGTAACCCCCATATAACACGGCACTTCTATAGCACGGATTCACTCTAACACGATTCGAGAATTGGGTAAAACCTTCGTACAACATGAAATGTAATAAATTTTTACATACTTAAGTAATAATAGTTCATGAAAATTATTATTTTCGTGAACTATTAGTACTTAAGTGTGTAAATTTTCTTTTCTTGCCTTCTGTCCATACACATGGTCCTTCTCGAAACTTCTTTCAGTGTTGCCAGATCTTGATGCTTCTGACTTTGATGTTGCCAGATGTTTCTTCCTTAGTCCATACTTTCTTTATTCTTCCATAAGTGCTTAGCACCGTATAAGGAAAATTATAAAGATTTTTTAACTAAAAGCAAGCAATCTAAAATTACATACTTTTTGCAAAAGGTAAAGCATGGATCTAAAGATAATGCAGAAAAATGCTCAGAGGATAAGGATAACTTGCCAAAAAGCTCTCGGTTAATAGTGCTTTTAGTGATGATGAAGAAAACATTGTTTAATTTATATTAATATGTATCACTTAAGAAAATTTTAATAAAGATATTTATCTTAATTATGAAAATATAATAGCATGTTTTTTTAATTTTTGGAACTTAACCCTCCTTTTCGTACTAGTTCTTTGTTTCGTATAACATGGATTCGCATAACACGGCAATTTTTTGGAACGTAGCTATCGTGTTATACAGGGGTTACCTGTATATCATATCTAAATACAGTAGAGCAGGGGTGGCCAAACTTGGTGCATTGGACGATTACAAGTGGCGCTTCAGTCGGTTCCAAGCAACATTGCCAGATTTGGCTTCATTGCATACGCAATTCGGTGCAATTGACCTGTTGACCTTTTTTTTTTTTTTTTGTTGACCTTTTTTTTTTTTTTCTTGTACGTTACATGATGCATTCGTGTTCATGTACACCACTGATGTCATATAGAACTATTTTATACGGGTAGCTACACTGCAACTGCATTTTTCATTGCTTGTTCTGTGGCAAATCTGAATTTTTGTCTTATAAATTGAAATACCTAATTAAGGGGTGGCCGAAATTCTTCTCCGCCCCGGGCTGCTAACACTCACGATATGCCACTGCGCATCTGAACTCGTCTATCAAAAAATTGGCGCATGGTATGCAAAAGGTTGGCCACCTCTGCAGTAGAGCATTGATTATCTGACTCAATTGGGGACTTGGATTGGTCGGATAACTGAAAAAATCAGATAACCGAAAATAATGAAAAAAATACATTACTAGTATAGTATATTAGTATATCGCTATTAACCAACCTTGTGTTGAATTTTCATCAGTGTTAAGCCTAACAAATATTTTTTAAAATAATAATCATCGCTATTGTATCGTTAAAAATTATTTTGAAATTATTTTATTGCTCACAAAACAAACAACCATTCATAATTAGAAAATTAAGTCTTGATTAAATACTGGCCTCCCTTCTATGGTCGAGCTGATGGTGCTAGCTAAAACACGCAAAAATTTAACAAAAATAATATTAAAGTAGCCAAGACATAGCCAAATATTGTAGTGCCACATCACTAGCAGACATTTGAAATTTGCTGAATAGAACGGTCGGTTAACTGATGTGACGGTTAATCGGGAGTCAGATAATCAATGCTCTACTGTATATTTAATTTCCTATTTTGACTTGAAATTTTAAACTGCTCAAAAATTTCCATGTACTGTTTATTATTAGTTGTTATAGTTATAATACTGTTTACTATCTAACTGTTGTAATATGTAATATATAACATAATAATAAAAAATCCAATTGAAGAGACAATATAAGTAATAATAAATCCAATTAAAAAACAAAATGAAAACCGAATGTCACTTTCAAAAATTATGCAATTTCATTTTTTATAGTAACTATTAATTAAACATCCTGATTGTTCACAATTACCAATATTTTATAAAAATTAATAAATTTTTAAATTATTGCTTAAAATTTATGTAATATGAATAAATTAAGCTATAAATCTATTTTTCTAAAAGTGAGTTGACTAAACAATTATAAATCATATAATAATAATTTATTTATAATTTACAGAATAAAATAAATGTTATAAAATTTCAAAATAGCTATAATAATATCTTAAATTAATAATAAATTTAAAATATAATTTTAATTGAAACCAAACTGTGTTTTCTTTGTTTCCAAGGAACATATCCATAATTTTGTAATTTTGTTTCAAGATTATTTAATTGTTCATCAATGTCTTCAATGCTTGTTTCTAAATCTTTTTTAAAATTAGCTCTTATATTTTGAAGTTGTTGTATATCATCATCTACTTTTGTTGTTTCTTCCTATAAAAGATTTAAACTATGATTAAATCAAGGAATTAAAAAAAAACTGTGAATTATAATTCAAGTACTATATAATATCAATATAATAAGCATATGTTTTATTCATAAATTCATTTATTTATTAAGTTATTTAATGGCATTTATTTAATTCCGATTCCTCTATCTCAACCATATTGAGAATTTTCACATAGTACTTCACTTCTTCTCTTAGGCCTAGAGCCTATTTTAGAAATTATTTAAAAAGCTTATTTGAATAAAAATATTTTAAATTTGGTCAAACAAAAACATCACTGTTTGATTCAACAAATAAAATAATGCTAAGTAAAATTATGCACCATGTGCAAAAGATCATAAATGTTGTGATCAAAGCAAGTTTTGACAAGTCTACAAGTGGAGTCTATTTGCATTTTTCACCGGACGCTCGTCCTCTGGTGTTTAAAAACAAAACTATTCTTTTTAAATAAAAAACTAATACAAGTACATGGCCAGTGTTATTCACATTTAATAACTATAAAAAATATAAATACGGCTTTACAAAGAAAAAACTTTGCATTTGTCCTTCCTTTTCACTGTTCACACCATCAGCAGTCCTTAAATAATTCACAAAACTTCAGAGCAAAAGAATGTGAATTATTTAAGGACTGCTGATGGTGTGATCGGCGAAAAGGAAAAAAAATGCAAATTTTTATCTTTGTAAAGCCGTATTTATATTTTTTATATTTATTAAATGTGAATAACACCGGCCATGTACTTGTATTAGTTTTTTATTTAAAATGTGATATTATGATTGTGGCATTAACACCAGAGGACGCTTTACCTATTTTACATTCTTTTGCGGAGGCAGTAGCCTCAAAAGTAAGGTCGTCTCTGAAGTTTTGTGAATTATTTAAGGACTGCTGATGGTGTGAATGGCGAAAAGGAAGGACAAATGCAAAGTTTTATCTTTGTAAAGTCATATTTACAAAACTATTCTATCTGGGTCATTTGATTCATTCTTGTGTATCAGCAGTAAACAGCAATAGAAAAAGCAAAGCTTTCTGTTGCATTCCAAATTGCAATTTTAAAAGCTTACAGGAGCCTAATATAAGTTTTTGTCTATTCCCACATGAAAAACAGATGATTATTCAGAAATTGGTCTTCTATATTTATTAGCTTCTCTGAATTCTGAAAGAGTGGACTAGACTGTTAAGAATTGGCAGTTTCCCGATTGTCTAGCTTTACATAAACAATTTATGCTGTCAATTTTAAAAGATATTTTCTTAAAGTTTAAAAAGCCAGTAGTTTTGTGTGGGACACAGGGTCAGATTTAAGCATTTTGAAGACCTAAGCTGAACTCTGTAAGTCCCTTTCCAGCCCTTCACAATTTTAGAAGTCAATCATAAAAAGAAAAGAATTAAATCAGACTATGTCTCTGATTCAATAAGGATATTGGAAGAAAAAGATTTGAGTATTCTAGTCTTCTGTTTTATAACTGAATTTGGCCCACCAGTGGCCAAGTGGTCTTTGTACCATGAACACTGGGAGTTCGGTCATGGATTTGTGCCTCGCTCGGACAGACTGGCTACGTGGAGTTTTTCAGGTTTTCTCCACATCCGTAACGCCTAAATAGGGGCCAGTTTCCCTTAAAAAGACCTCCCGGAAGGCATCCCCCCAGGCAGATTGCCCAAGTGTTGCATTGCCATAACTTAACAAACAAACAAACAATATAACTGAATTTAATTAAATTTTTATACCTATTCCATTAAAAATCTTTTTTTTAAAATTGGTTTTATCAATTTTTTAAAAAAAGACATTATGTTAATTCTTAGAAAAAAATTAATGAAATACACAAAATAAAAAGTAAAGTATATTTTGTTGGTTTGTAAAAAAATGTTTATTACAAAATTTGACTTCAAGTTTCTTTTTTTGTACAAATGTTTGAGGCTCCTTGAAAGTCGAAGCCCTAAGCAAAAATTTACATAGTTTTTTACTTGTAAATTCGGCCATGATAGGACAATGTCAAAGCTGATGTTTTTTTAACACAAAGGGCACAAATATGTATAGAACAATCTCGCTCACTTTTTCGATACCACATAATGACGTGTCCTGCTAGCAATAATTGTTCTCCTTCTATAAAATTTCTTGATAAACAGCTACAGTCAGCATATATCATTATATTGAACAGTAATATATGATTAATTTTACATTACTAGTTACAAACGATCCAGATAAAGTAGCCATTTTGTAAAAATGCAGTGCCCTCTATAGTGAAAAACGCAAATATGGTGTTTGTGAACTGCAGATATATATATATATATATATATAATATACAAATACAAATATATATGATTACTATATATATAGAAGTGTATAAAGTTTTCTTAAAGTAATATGCATATTTACAAATTATTAAAATAATGTGCCAAAATCAATTATATTAATTATTTGTAAATGATTCTTATTAAGATTTTTAATGTTTCAATTCATTTCTTTAAACAAATTATTAAATATTCTCATTTAAATGTTAATGATAAATATTAAATAAAATATATTCACAAAACTTATAAATTTACGAAATCATAGTAATCTTTTTAACACTGCATTTGTTATTAAATATAATTCAAAAATAAAAAAACACAATTCAAGTAATTTAAAATCAAAACATATTACTAATTTTTTATATAGTTATTGTACAACTATCAATGTTAAAATGGTTACCTTAAGTAATTTTAAATCATCAAGCATATGTGTTATATATATTATCGATGAATCTTCTGGTAATTCAGATTTTGGCATCAATAGTTTATGATTTAATTCATTTAAATCATTCTGCAAATTTTTTGATATATTTTTTAACTTTGAGAAGAATGATTCTTCTTTACTATCCATTTTGAAATAATTAAATACTGTAAATAAAATCATTAAGTAATATTTTAATTAGGTATATATTATACAAAACTTTATTACATTATTTTAAAATTTAATACAATTTTATTGACATTGTAATCATAGTGAATCTAACAAAAGTTATAACATACCTTAGAATAAGTTTTAATATAATATTGAAAACTCCTAAAATTTGTTTCTTTTTTAGAATTATATAAATTGTCTAGAAAAAAAGTAAAATTATTATAATTAATCTTAAGCATTAGAATTATTAGCATTCTAAAAGTATAAAATTTATTAAAAAATATAATTAAACTAATATTGAAAGAATATTAATGTTTTATTTCATCATTCACCTAAAATCAAAATCTGAAACATTATGACTATTGTACAACATAGATAATTTAGTTAATTTTTATTTCCTAAGTATTAAAAATATAAAGAAAAATTTTTAAGAAGTTTATTCATGAATATAAATGAAAATATTTAAAAAATTAATTTATGATAACTATGCATTTACTTAATCTTGTCTCATATTTAAGATTGACATTCATTACATTATTAAAAAGCAAAAATGAAAACAAACTTAAAACTATAAGTAAAATATTGAAAATGTGAGATTTATCAATCTCACATTTTCAATATTTTTATATAATATAAAAATACCTTTGCAAACAAGCTTTTTCAAAAATGAAATATAGTGTACAAAATCAAAATATCAAACATTACTGTCCAATAAAATTTTAATAATGGATGCCACAAAATTTATACCCAATTTTGATGATATTCTTTCAAAAAAAAGCACTTGCAAATTTCACATTGATTCATGTCTGTTGTTATTTAGAAATAAAAAAAATCTTATATAATATTTGACCATATCTTTTGTACGGTATCCGGTTCCCGTCATCTTTAACACTGACATGGCCCTTCTTGGAAAAAGCGGAGAGCCAGGTAAAATGTGAACTCCGAATGAGGAATTTCCCAGAATTGTAAACCCCCGTATGAGCAAAAAAAGTCAAAGGAACCGTATCTGTACATGCAACCCCTCACAAGATATTTGCCTCCAAAGGTCAATTTTTAGTGTATAGGTACAGTACAACTGCCTACTCTCCATGCTCCATATGTAGTTGTGCACTTCTGTGCTTGCTATTGCTCACACTCAGCCCCCACTTCCCCTAAAATTATATAACATCAAGTACTCCACAGTCAGGTGGGCTAAACAGTTAAATGTGATAGTCTTAGTGGAGCAATGCAGTGTGATTCCCAATCGCGTGTAGCCGTTATCTCACAAAGGTCACACGTAGAGATACGATTGAGTTTTTTGATCATACGGGCATGGTTTACACCCAATGGTAAGGTCCCAACCGTCTCATTCAGAGGTGTAATTATACCATTTGGAGCTTGAATCTTACCGTAAACAGTGCTTAAAGCTTGATTTTGTATTAAAACCTTCTATTAGAACTAATAATAAACCTTCGTAGAAGACCAACACCACCAACGAACAAAAGGTAGACTTACTCGCATGGAATGTAATAGAAATAATAACTATAAGTGAAAATTAAGTATATTTTCTGCTTTAAATGACTTCTACATTTTGAATTCAGCGGATAAACAGAGAATTCGAATAGTATTTTAACAGCAAATTAAAAATTCGCCCAAAATTCGCCAAATTTATTATATATTTTTTTTTTATTTTTATAAATAAATATAAATTATTAAATTAGTTCAAATGTATCATTAATATTACGTAAATGTTAAGACACTATCAGGAAATTATCGTAATTAGTTGGAAAAATTATAATGTGAACAGTGACATCATAGATCGAGCCTGGAAACCTGGTTTTTCTTTTGAACTGCCTGTCCTCTTGGCACTAAGAGGGTCTTTTTTTAGCAAGTCTTTTATATCGCTTTTGTTTTCGACACTGTTGTACATAAAAAACACGTAGTTAATCAACAATTAACTTTATTCCCTCTCGATACAACCGACTGGGGTGACGACTACACAAGAACTCTCCCCGACTCTCGAAAGGTATGTTGGAATTGTCACCCCTGACCCGACACCCAGATCAAGTTACTACAGATAAGTCACAACGTTACAACAAAGTCAGTTATGGGTTCTGCCAGGCCCAAAATGGGGCGTGAGGGCCTGACATATCCGGACAGTCTATCCTCCAAAAAATTCCTGGAAGTTTTGACCCGTAGGATTTGAGCCCACCGGTGGATAAAACTACTGAACACTTGCAATTGGTCGTGGGTTCGCGCTTCACCGACTACAAGTGGTCCGTTTCCCATAGAAAGTCCTTCCGGGAGGCATATCCTCGTCAGATCACACATTTCTTGCGTTATCATAAACAAATACACCAAACCAAATCCGATTCGATCCGTGTCCCTCGGCGCGTCCTTATGTATACAGTACATAGCCATTCCTGATATTGTCATAATTTCGTCACCCAAGTTTGTTGCATTATTTCACTTATTCTGTAGTGATGTGATCGTGATTTCTTTTTGTATTTGACCAAACAAGTGGTTTGGTCCTCACCGGTCGGGTGCATCTACATATTTATTGTAAATATGTTATAATGTTCTCTATTTATATTTGTTTAAACTGTATTAGTCATTGTTTGTTGTCACCTGTGTTACGTGCATCTTGTGTATAATTTGTACATATGTTTTCTGTTTTGTATTTAATAAACTACCGATGCAGGCGCCCTATGATCCTATCATCACCCTGCCCTCCTCACTTGCCTTCTTCTCTCTTCCTCTTCTTTCATCATCTTTTCAACCTCTAGGTCGTACCTTTGAGTGGAACCAGGAGGCAGCCCCTTCTTTCAACTACTAGTAATAATAGTATCCCTCTGCGCGAGGCAGTGGCGTACCGTAGTGGGGGTGGCAGGGGCGGCAAAAAATAATAATTTACAATAAATAATAATAATATCTTATAAAAATTTGAAACATCCTAATCTATACTTGCATCGCGCCTACGATAGTGCTATCGTCCGGACAGTCCGGGAATCGGCTCGCCGGGTGAACTAGTAGGTTTCTCATCCGAGGAATTCCTGCGAAACCAGTTGATTTTTTTTTGCTTGTACGTTCATATACACCACTAATATCCAATAAAACTATATTAAACAGGTCGCTGCACTACCACCGAATTTTTCATTGCTTGTTCTGTGACAATACTGAATTTCGGTCTTTTAAATTGAAATACCTAAATAAGGGGAGCCGAAAGTTTCCTCCGCCCCGGGCGGCTGACACCCACGGTACGCCACTGGCGCGAGGAACTGCCATTTTCATCGCTTGGTTTTCATCCGGCCGCCTTGACTATACGGTAAACTTTCCAGCGTCTGCACACAAGAGATATTAGATTATGTTGCCAAGTCCTTAAAAAGCTTTCTACTACACAAATCACAAATTCCCATCCAGGGCCGGCTCATCGCATAGACAAATGAGACAAATGTCTAGGGTCCGGTTTTTAGAAGGGTACGGTCAAACTGTCTATTTTGAAAAGATTTGTAAATAAGATAGATTACTCTGCTGTTGGACAACTGTATAATACTGGTAAAACTGGTAAAATATATTATTTAAATATTAACCAAAAAGGTTAAATTAATCAAGTAAAACGGCAAAACCGTATTTGGGACACGACTATGTCTCGGAGACATTACTAAGCGGAATCACTTTGACGCTCAAAGTGGATCTCTTTCTCATTCTCCAATCTTTGGTATCGCTGCTTTTGGGCGCGATCGTTCAAACTTCGCCAGCCACGACCACGAGGTCGTCCACCATGCATTTTCCATGAAATTAATCTATCCAATTTCAAATTTTCTCTCCGTTGCGTGTCGACCCGGGTTGAATTTTTGTCGATGCCTAACGAAAATTTCTCGTCTTTGAAAAATATAATCGTGGCTATTGTATCGTCCGAAATTATTTTTTTTTTATTTTGCACAAACAATATACAGTTTAACCTGATTATAACGTCAAATTTTTACTGGTCCCACGATTTTACTAAACTAGACAATGTTAAAAAACCTACTTGTAACGACATAAAACCCTATTTTAATGTCATATTTGAAGCACTCCCAAATTTACAAAATTAGATTACAAATTTTACTTAAGAAAGAAAATACTACGTGTTCAGTCCTAGGGTCAGAGTCCATTTCCTTGAACGACTGTGGGTGGTACTCTCACAACCTGACTTCGGTTTGCCTGTTTGTAGAGAGAGTCGCCATTTTGTATTTTACTTTCACTCGGTTCTCGGTCCCGAGTACCTAC